AACTCACGACCTTGCGCTTGCCAGGCAGGCGCTTTGCCGCTGAGCTAAATCCCCAGCCCCTGAAGTCATTCTTAATCAAGTGTGATTTTGTGTCCTGGGGAATATTTGGCAAGGCCTGGTGATAATTTTGGCTGTCACAACCAAAGCTGGGCAGTGCTATCCAAACCAGGGATACATTAAATAATCTACCTGGACAAGCCAGCCTAACAGAACGGGCTTACTCGTCTCAAAATAGCAGTATTGTCAAAATTAAGAAACACTAGTTTAAGCACTGTGATATGACATATTATAGTGTATACATTGTACACATAAGATGAAAAAATACCACCTGTCACTCATGGAAATTATCATGAACTCCAAAAGGAACTTGTGATCATGAAAATTTCCACAAATTAATGAAGAAAAAATTACATCAGGTAGAAAATAAAACATAAGAAAATATTCTCAGAGAATTGAAGACTTTTGGGCTAAGGTATAAGTGCATTTGTGTTGTATATTTTTACCTTATTTTATTATACTAAAAGGAATTAAAATTGAACCAAAAAGCCTAGCAAATAATCTCCCACTGCATCTGAAATGGATTTAAAATATAATTAAAAAAACTGACCTATGTTGTAAAAGAACAGCTGTGGTATATATTGGGACTAAGTCATAAAAATAGATAAACAGACCATGTCAATAGTCTGTAATCTGATCTTTGATAAGGAGGGCAAAACAATGAAGCTTACTGATATTATAGGCCAGATGATTAGATATTTAGCTGCACTATTGATCTTTATGTACCCAGTAGCTAACATGTACCTGGCACAAATCAAGGTTCAATAAATATTTGTTGGCTAAATAAGTAGGTGCCAGGAGATTGAGCAGGAAATACTGCATCAGCAGAGTTCATATTCTTTGAAATTTTCATTTCCTTTTACTATAGAGCTGTAACTAATTCATCAAACGAGACTAAGTTACTGATAAGCTCTTCCTGCCCTCTTGCAGCTCTTGTCCTTTGAATATTTTGGGGTCAAGATCAGGCAATACTCATTCTTTTATCCTGGGGTTTATCACGGTGCCTGGTGTATCCTGATACGTATTGTTGAAACTTTTTTTCCTCTTAGTACAAGGGATTGAACCCAGTCCCCCCAAGCATGTTAAGCACATGCTTTACCACTGAACTAAACCTTTGTTTAGTTCGACTTTCCAGCTAGCTAAGCTGGCCCAATTCATCTCTCCTTTCCAGGGGTGCCTTCCCCTCCTATCTCCTGGGCTAGCAAGACAATTCATTCCCGGCTGAATGCATGCCCCGCTTTTCTCTCCTCCTGAACCCCATTGTCTTTGACTTATCATTCTGTTTCCTGGAGTTTTCCTGTCATTCGATTTCCTACTTTTAGGAGAAAGGAATTTCTCCTAAAGAAGTATTTCTTTAGGAAGCATTTCTTTCTTTAAAGTATTTCTTTTGTAGAAGTATTTCTTTAGGAAGTATTTCTTTCTCTAAAGTATTTCTTTCTTAGAAGTATTTCTTTCTTTAAAGAAAGGAATTTCTCCTAAAGAAGTATTTCTTCTTTCTATTCTTTTGATGTCCTCTATTTAATTGCTGCTTACTCCACTAAGATCAGGCAATGAAGCACAAGGAAAGAAAGAAGAGAGGCTTCGAAACTTTTTGCGCTAGATGAGTGAGTCATTTAACTGTTTGAATACTGACTTTCTTTCTGTGGAATGAGAGAATGATGCCTTACACAATTGCTACCAATGATCGATTGACAATGAATATGAAAATGTTCTATAAAGTCTGGTCTATTCTTACAATTACTAGTAGATTCTTAAAATGTTTTTACTCTACAAATCTATTAATTGATGATGTGTAAAAATTTAAACATGGAGTTTGTGAATGTAGGTAAGCTTCCTTTTAAAGCTGTTTCGCTGGAAATTTTGAGGTGCATGATGTCATGAGACGTTGGCTGAGAGGCCGTCCACCTTTTGGTTTCACTAGTCAGGGCTGCATGTCTTAGAATGCTTCAGAAGGCAAGAAATCAACCATGCGTCATCCGCTTCACAGAACCCATGAAAAGTACAGCTCATAAAATTAAAAACCCTTGTGTAGACAGTTATATGAGTTAAAAATAGTCAAAGCTGTGCACCGTGTTCTTAAGAGAATTTACATTCATCTGAGGAGCCTCTCAGGATCCATATTAATAAGCCATAACCTGTGAAGATGTAAAAGGCCCCATTTTCACTCAAAAGGAGAGAGTTCAGAAGAAATGGACTAAATCAGAGATCTTAGTTTACTTGCTTTTATCTAAATTCCTCACAAATGTCTAAATACTTACCTGGTTTCAGTAAGTACAATGCCAGTTTTTGACTTTCAGTGAAGCAAACTTCTAGCCAGGAAAGATGCAGCCCCA